GAGCGTCCTACGATGTCAGACAGCAGGCCGTGATGCAACATTCGATGATTGCTATCAGATCGAGGAACGTACTACGATGTTAGCTATCAGGCGGAAAATCGTACTTCGATATCAAACAACATGCTGGTATCATAATTCGATGTTAGCCAACATGCAGGGAAACTTACCTCGACCTTAGACGTCAGGCCGAGAAACGTTCTCCGATATTAGCCATCAGGTCGAGAGACATCCTTCGCTGATAGCAATCAGGACGAGTATCGCCATTCGATGTTTGCCATCAGGCCGAGGAGTGTCATTCGATGTTCGACATCAGCACGGAAAACAACGTTCGATGTTAGATATCAGGCTGAGAAGTACATTCGATGTTACCCACCAGGCAAGGAAACGGTATTAGTTATGTGGCTGAGAAACGATCTTAGGTGTTAGATATCATGCCGGGATGTTTCTTTCGATTCTAGCCGTCAACCCGAATAACTTACTTCTATGTTGGCCATTCGCCCGAGAAACGTACTTCGATGTTTGCAATTTGATTGAGAAACTTTAATCGGTGTTGTCTAACAGTGACATCAGGCCGACGTAATTCCTTTGATGATAACCATAAGGCTGAGAAACGTGTTTCGATGTTAGGTATCAGGCCGAGAAGCGACGTTAGCCTTCAGTCAAAGAAATTTTTTTGGAAGTTAGCCATCAGAAATAGTAACGTCCTAACGTATTAGCCATCAGGCCGGGAAATGTACTTCGATTTTGGCCAGTTGGGAAAATTCCCTCGATGACAGGCATAAGGCCTAGATACTTCTTTCGATGTTAGCCATCATGCCGATGAAGGTCCTTTGTTTTTAGCAATTAGGCGAAGGGACGTATATCGTTGTTAACCGGCAGTCCTAGAAACAAAATTCGATTTTAGCTAACAGAGTCCTTCGATGTTAGCCATCGTGTTGAGAAAAGCCCTTCAATATTATTAATCAGGAACGTACTTCGATATTTGCCATCAGGACGGAAAATTTATTTGATGTTACACATCAGTCCAAGGAATATACTTCGATGTCAGACTTCCGGCCGAGATTCT